ACAGAAACTAGAAAAATCTTTGCTTGCGAAACAACGACCCTGATCTGCTATTATGCGTTTCGGTGCACCAAACAGAGCTATACAGAAATTAATAGCACGAATACTACTATTAGTGTCGATGTTTAGCGAATGACGAAGTAGCACAAATTTGGTAAACGCATCTAATATGACAAACACGTACTCCTTGATGTCATTCTTCCCAGATAATTTACCAGAAGCGTCAATATGGATTGTGTGCCATGGGATATTGAACTTGGGAATCGGGTGCAGTTCTGCTTGAACTTTACCCGAGTGGGGCTTCGCCACTTTACATGTGATGCAGTTGTCCACAAATTTCCTCACATATTTCGACATGCCTTCGAACCAGTAGTGTTCGTAAATCTTTTCGAGAGTTTTCTCCCATCCTAAGTGCATGACAGACTCATGGACGTTATTAATAACAGACCACCTAAGCGATCTAGGTACAATAGGCAGCCATCGAGTGCGACCGTTACGCTGAATTTGGCGATATAGAATGTTTTTACGAACTTCGTAGGTTTTGCGAGTTTCCTCAGGAAAAACTTCGTTACGAAGATCAGAAACGATCTTACTAATCTCTTCGTCCTTTTCCTGTTCAGCTTGCAACCAGTTACTAGAAAGCTCAGCTAAATCGATACGCTTTTGTTCCACACGAGTGAAAGCCACTTTGGGCTTAGGGAGGGGATTTCTAGACAGGAAGTCTACATGGCTCATCCTACTGCCTTCACGATGGACGATATCAAACTCAAATGACTGCACGTAGGCCCACCAACGATGAACTCGTGGAGACAAGTCAGTTTTGCTTTTAGAAGCTTTAACAGAACTGCAGTCTGTCACAACGGTAAACTTACGACCTAGCAAATAATGTCGAAAATGCTTTATGGCATTGAACACAGCTAACGTTTCTAACTCAAATGAATGAAACTTTGATTCGGCTGGGGAGGTACGACGACTATAATAAGCAACCACATGTTGTATCCCATTAATCTTTTGAATAAAAATAGCACCATATCCTTCAGCACTAGCATCGGTGTGTAACTCTATTGGATGTGCAGGATCAAATATCGTTAGAATAGGCTTACTGGTTAAATAAGAAATAATTTTCTGACGAACAGCCTCATGGCTAGGTTCCCACTCAATGGACCTGTCCTTGCCACTCGTTAGACGAAATAGAGGAGCCATCGTTTTTTGAGAACTGTGGCACAAATTGTCTGAAATAAGTGGCCAGCCCTATGAACTGTCTTAGCTGAGTGATGGTTTTAGGCGGGGGAAGTCTGGACAAAGCTGCAATTTTATTTGGGTTGGGACTGATTTGGCCGTTCTCAACAACAAAGCCTAAATATTCTACCCGTCGCTTAAGAAAGGAACACTTAGCAAGATTTAGGGAGAAACCAGCTTTTGTTAATTTATCTAGCACAGTGCGAAGACGAAATAAATTCTCCTCCACAGACGATCCTATCACTAAAATGTCGTCGACGTATGTCACAGCATAGCTGTTAGCAAGATCGCCTAATGCCTTCATCACTGCACGTTGATAAACTGAGCTGGCATTTTTCAAACCGAACGGCATGGTCAAATATTCCCACTGACCATCAGGTGTGACGAATGCAGTGCGCTCTATCGATTCAGGATGCACTGGAATCTGGTGATAGCCTGACAACATATCGAGACACGTGAACCATGTAACACCACCTAACCTAGATATAAGGTCCTCTATCAACGGCAGTGGAAACCTATCCGATACAGTGTTGTCGTTCAGTTCCCTGTAGTCGACACACATGCGATCTGAACCATCTTTCTTCTTGACAAGCAACACTGGACTAGAAAAGGGTGAACAGCTTGGCCTAATAATACCTGCTTCCTCTAGTTCACGAACTTTAGCAGTAACAACTTCACGTTCGTTTGCACTAAGCCTATAAGGGCGACGTTTAACCGTTCGACTAGGATCTATAAGCCTGATTTGCAACTGTCCTGTCGTTACACGGGATTTAGGTACACCATTAGAAAACGAAGATGAATATTCTGACAAAAGATCCATTAATTGGGAACGAAATTCTGGCGGAACGTCTGTGTCAACTTTATTTGAATCAATTTGATAATTAGTATCCGTCTTGGGCTTATTTGAAGCATCACATAATCTCACAACCTTATCACGACACAAAACAACGCTATGAGACGTCATACTAACGTTGAACCCCTGATCTAAAATCTCGCGGCCGATTAAGATATCATTTTTAAGACAACTATCCGGTACAACATGAAATAATATCTCTAACCGTAAATCGTTAATTATAACTTCAGATAAAATTTGTAGAGTACTTTGTACGCTAACGTGACCGATTCCGGTTAAATTTACAATATTATTTACTCGCTTGCCACTAAACTTTGACGCAACACAATCTTTGATCAGAGAGCATTCGGCACCAGAATCGTAGTAAAATGGGTATGACTCACCAGCATTCATCAGCACACCGCTGGGATTGCTGACATAACAAACGTCAACACGTCGCTCACTGGTTGCCGCTGCGGCAGGCGCTACCCTAGAACTGCTTGATCCACCCGCCGCGCTGGTGCCCGCACTATTGCTTCGTGGACATTTTGCTGCAAAATGCCCGGCGTTGCCGCATCGAAAGCAGATGATGTCCAAGCGCTGTTTTGGTCCTGAAGAACTTGACGCCGAGATGGTGGTATTGGCTGTTTTGCTTTTCACCTCATTTCTTGATCGACAGTCAGATGCTCGATGACCTAGTTTACCACAGTTGTGACACTTCAGTGTTGTCGACTGAAACTTGGATCGCTTGAATTCTGGAACGGCGTCGATTGAGTTAACCGTTGAAGCTTTCCTTTTCAAAAACGAGAGCGCTTGAAGTTCACACTGCAGCTTGTTCCTGTTGTTGACTTCGGTAGTAAACACCAGCCTCTGAATACGCCCATCAAATTGTGCCATGTGAGCACCGTAGATATGGCAATCTGCTCAGTGCTCATGTTTTGCCAGCGTGATGTGAGCGTTGAAAGCAATCGGGCAGCGTACGCGGCATAACATTCACCTTCCTTGGGCTTGCCATTCATCATTTTGACAAGAGTAGCGGCTGGTGTGTCCACACAATCGTACCGGGATAAAAACAGGCTTTTGAAGTCACACCATGTCATCCCCGCAAACGACACTTGCGCCAGCCAACGTGAAGCACTACCTTTCAGAGCCTTGCTTAGGGTAATTATTAGAGCACTTCCCCGAAGCGGTACCTCCGATAGGCACAGATCCGTTGTAGTACACCAGGCACGTGCGTCTACATCCGGCTTATCAGGGTCAAATTCAGGCAGAGAAATATACTTGGTACCTGCCGGGCCCTTGATGGCTTCTATCAAGGACATCATATTCTGGTTTTGAGCAGCCAGCAACTCCCGAAGCATGTTCTCGTCGCACCGTGACGACATCGCTCCAGTCTCCGTGTCATGGGTGTTTTCTTCAACTCGGGTGCATCCCACTTCTGATGTCGCGTCATGGGTGGCCGAGATGCGAAGCATCGGGTTTTCTTCACGCTCCGACATGGTTTTATGTAAATGTGGGCACACGAACGAAAGATGATTTAAATCAAAAATAACTTTATTTAGACTAGTGGTTGTATACGAGAAACAAACACGTGCGTCGGTAGCGAGCGTCCGCTCCGGCCGTCCGAACTCAACTGCCACAACACTCGGTCCCTTCTCTAGCCCTCGCTGCATCCCCTCTACCGACGATCGTGTCCAAGCGGTAGGGCGCGCTTGCGTTTCCGGTAACGATATTATTGATTCGCAAAGCTAATTGTTAGATGGCGCTGCTTGTAGCACTATGGCGCCATCAATCCACGACATGCAGAATTCCTTAAATTCATTTTAATTTGAATATTTTACGGCAAATGTACTACTGGGACTGGCCGGTCATATTATGACTGGTATCAAGCACGAAAGCAAGCAACTTTTTTTATACTTTTTTATAATAGTATTCAGTGTTTTTTTTTTGTGTGGTATAGAAAGCATATCTCATGTAATTTTAGAATAAAGGTTCATTGTTTCGGGTTTTGGCTTTGTTTATTTCTTAAGAGCGTAGTTTTAAAGGTCGTACTTCCCACCGCCAAACCGAAGGGTTTGAGATTTTACCTACTGTATGAAATAAACGCAGTGTTGTGTCCTAATTGTAAACTTATTCCTTTAACCATGAAATAAGCTTTTCAAAAATATATACATTACTTAGATTTAATTCAGTAAGTTAAACAAAATCAAGGTACAAAGTTGAGCTATTTTAGAGATGTTTTTACGCGGCCAAAAATATCTGTATGCGGAAATTATTGTTTTTCTTGACATTTGACTTTAAAAGATGTAAATGTTTTTAAATATTTGTATTATTATATAATAAGAGGGTAAATAAAATGCAAAATAAAATCTATAAGTTGATTAATTTTGTTTTTATTCGATAGGAAAGTCAGAAATAAACCTTTTTTCACTTTCACTTGCATACTATTTGATTATAGTACAATATTTTTTATTGAAAGTAATATCATGTTGTAGATAATTTATCCACAAATCCAACAATATATAATGTGTGGGGTATTTATAAAGGGAAAGACCAAAAAAACCAATAAAGTGGAACACTTAACAAACGGCGCGGCCACGGCTCGAGTGCCGTATCAAGTTAAGCCTTGCAGCGCTCGGCGCGCGTATCAGGTGAGGGGGTATACGGTTTACACACGGTCGCCGGCTATGGTAGTCGCAGTATTCCCATAGTAGTATCGAGAATTTCGGGGAACGACAACGTCTTTTATCATGGAACAAAAAAGATGGCCTTACTCCTATTGTATCGACGTCGTCAGCGTCGACTTCATTACATACGTCAGAGAATATATTGGATACATCCGTACAATACTTTGAGAAAGGAAAAGGGAGATTTTTACACAGAGTTTATAGATCTTCGAGAACATGAGGATAAATTTTTCATCTATTTTCGGATGTCAAAGAGCTCATTTGATGAGTTACAAGGACGTCTAAAAGACGCTCTGCAGCATCAAAGCATCGTAAGGGACTGCACCGAGCCTGTTGAAATGTTGGCAGTTACTATTAGGTAAGTAAACAAACTAAGTAAAATATTAATACCCTTTAATTTTAATAAAAACTAGAAAACATGTTAATTGACAATTTGATATATATCAGTTGGCAAAATCAATCTCAGAGAAGTCGGAGCCTGCGTAGGATGATTGAGAGTCGTTCGAAGACGGATTTTCGGAATAGAAGTGCTCATAATATTGACGTGTACTTGGTGATATCATTTCCTTCTGCTTGTTTTTGTATTCCTTGAGGTTCAAAGTAAATTTTAGATGGACCAGATAACGGCGATTGAGATAGTGTCGGGCGGGATACTTGAGTAGTAAAAGATTGAAGTTGCGGTGCATTAAGATGACTTTGTTTAATGGTCGTTATTAGTTGTAATATTCCCATTTGGAATTTAATTATTCCGTCTTCATTGAATGATGACAATGAAGGTATTATTCCTTTAAAAAAACACAAATGCCGGTCCTCCGGCTTCTCTAAAAATATGTAACAATTTTTTGTCAATTTCATCTATCTTTCGTTTACGTGAACCGAGCTGTTGTTGAGGCGGTGGTGGTGATTTAAACTGGCTGCTACATTTGCTTTCCGTACTGTCTTCAACATTATTTCCTCTTGAACTTTTTTCGACCCGATCAGTAGGTAGGCTACTCTCTGTAGGACGTTCACATACAATTTTGTTTAAAAACTGTAATTGATCAAAATAAACGTATTTTCTTATAGTAGTAGCACGGCTCCCGATTTTTATAATAAATACACGACTTTTCTTTGTTTAATGATTTGTGATAAGAATCTCGGATATTTACCCATCGTTTCATTACTTCTTTACCTGGAAACCATATAAAAAAATACAAATGCTATACAGCATCATTATAACATTTCTCTGATCCCATGGTAAGTATTTATTGTTTATTTTTTGTTTCAGGTACTTAGCTAGCGGGTGTACTTTCACAGACATACATCTCAACTACAGACTTGGCATTTCAAGAGTAAGCAAGATAGTAAATGAAGTATGTTTTAGCATTTGGCGTGTTATGCTACCACTACTGCATGCATACACCTAGTAAAGAGATGTGGGAAAAAATATCCGAAGAGTTGAAAAAAGAGCCAATTTTCCGCATTGCATTGGTGCAGTGGATGGGAAACATATTAGAATTATTAATCCACTTGGCTCAATGTACTACAACTACAAAGGATACTCCTCAATAGTTTTGATGACCGTAGCAGACACAAACTACCGCTTTGTCTATGTGGACACATGTCTTATGTGGCTTTATATGAACCGCCTTATCGGCTTGATCTTTCCAGTTTTGTTCGAAAATTGGTTGATCACTTAATATTGAATCTTGAACAAAAAGTAGTTTCGGTCTCTGATGATACTTCCTTGTGCGCTTTTTCCTGCGATTTATTGTTTTATTAGTTTCAGGTTCCCATTTAAATTGACTTGCTGCAATATTTAGCTCTACTTTTAAGTAATTATTATCTATGATTTTTGCAAAAATTTCAACTCTGAAAAAAGTCGGCGTTCTTTTTCACTGTTATTTTTGTCATTCTCATTTAAGTTCCTCTCACTACACTAGGATTATCTTCTGTTTCGTGAAGATAATTCACATTCATAAAGTGCACAATACTCCAGACTCGGTACAATTATTTGTAGGCTTTACAAATACTTGTAGTTGAATAAACTAATAACAGTAAGCATTTTCAAACCTATCATCTTTTATATATGTAGGCATGTCTATAAAATACTGGTTCAGTCAAGAGTAAAAAGGTTTTACTCTATAGTACGTGCCAAATTTATTGAGAAAAACGGATAATGACCTTTCGGTCGTTTAACCAGGGGCTACAACCTTCAATATATAGACACTTTTTATATGTAGTACTTTATTTTTTTGTATATATATTATTAAAAGTAACGTAAAAGATCGCTGTAGAAGCAAAATCATCTATTGTTATAAAGTACTTTATTCATTTAACAACAAAAAGCATTAATTTATAACACATATAAAGACTCGAGTGATAACGACACCGAATAAGTAAGTTCTTATTCAAAAGATAAAAGTTTATTTTCAACTTACTGTTTCGAACTTTATGTTTATTCGGTGCATGCGGACCGGCCCAAAAAAAGTGACGCTGGCGGTTGCCATTGTCACGTTTCTTTAAGGACGAACTGACGTAACGCGTATTTTTGTTTATTTTAAAGGGATGAATTTGCAAAAACTCAATATGGTAATTATATTCCTTCAAATATTTTTTTTAATATGAAACTGTTATTAAATGAATTGCTGCTTTACTTACCATATATTGAAATATAAAATATAACACATTTTTCGCGATGTACCATGAGATTTTACGATGTTTATAGGAACCACAGACAATATTATTTAAGAAATAAAAAAAAAAAACATATGTGCTGACCTAGAACTGTGAATAATATCAATATTTAAATATATCACATCTCAGATTTTGTAAGTTACGTCTTTTGACACTCGGCTCATATCTGAGGTCATTGTCCGTTTTTCTCAATCGATTTGGCACTCACTATAGCAAAGCGTCGTATATTTGGTAACGTTGCGACCAGGATTTTTGAGAAAAACATCATTGGGAAGCGTACCACATATTTGCGACGAGTTGCTAACGATCTGCTTATTGTATTTTCTTGTATTTTATGTTGTAACGCACGCATATTTGCGACATCCATCATTAGTGAATCTGAAGGTGATCCTCTTTCGCCTACATATAATATATTTTATATCCTTGGCAAGTGTGTGTGCAGATTATCTCTATTTTCATCACTACAGGTTTTAATATATTTTAATCAAAAGTATTCACCTAAACCTATGTTTTGAGAATGAAATTTTTACTGGCATTATTTAAAAAAAGCTGGGGCCAACTTTCCTTTCTAAAATGGCACTCAGCTCTCAGTCACTAGCAAGTGTTAACATCTGCTTTGTTAAGGTCTCTAAGTTTTGTTGTATTGTATAAATGTATCAAAAATATCAATATCGATAAGCTGACGTCATTTTTATAATACCTTTTTATTTTTAGGTTACAAAGTGTTATAAAAAATAATTACTATTCCTACCGCCAAACAAATTGTTTAGTGGGCAGAAACATGTTCACACAGATTATCATCGCGATATAGCAACATAAAGCTGCTGTGTTTCTATGATGAGTAACCAACGACCCATTTACTCGTAACAAGGCATTGCAACTTAGTACTTATCCTCAGTTGTGACAACAATAAAGGCAAGCATCAATATACGTAAAAAAGGTATCTACACCCACATATATCTAATTGTGTGCTCGTTTGCAACCCTTACTGCTATAAAAAAAACAGTCTGCAAAAGGTTGATGTGGGAACTGTTGTATGATTGCATAATCCTGTCAGGGAAAAGAAAACAAGTCCGAGGCTGCAAGCTGGACGAAAAGTACCTTACAAGGTGTTAAAAAGGATTACTGATGTCACATACCGCATCAAGAAAAGGCAAAGAGGAAAATCGAAGGCAGTAAACATTGATCAACCAGCATGATATCACGACACGAATGATGATCGGGACGATCAGGTCTAGGTGGAGGATAGTGCTACGGCAGCTAGTTCCTTGTTGAATTACGTTGCACGAGAACGTTCCTGACGATAAGGGTCAATGTTCTCAGCGGAGTTAGTAAAATGTGTAGGCGTATAAATAGACAATGCTCAAACTAACGCAAGCAAAACGCCTTTCTCCTCAGGAAATATGTTATAGTACATTCCCACTGTAAGCGTGTAATTTTTACGTCCTAACTATTTAACTGTATTTTGCTGTGTGTTTAAATAATTTCGATAAAATTAAATAACTAAATATATAAAATTATAAATATATTTTTCTCTTTCTTCTATTAAAAGAACTGTATTACGTATTTTTAGCAATTTTTATTAAAGAAAATACCATCAAACTTATAAAAATATATTACTACTCAAATAAATATATTAAAAAAGAAACTCTCCGGCGGGGAATCGAACCCCGGTCTCCCGCGTGACAGGCGGGGATACTGACCACTATACTACCGAAGACACGTAATGCGATTGGAAAATTTAGATCAAATCATTTTAGTAATGACGTCATTTCTATTTTTTTATATAAATTTATAATTATGTATATTTTATAAATTTATGTATATACATATTATACTGTTTGATTACTTTACGTAGAACGTTCTACATTCATCTTATTGGGTATAAAAGCGTACGCCGGCAATCGGAGATTCAATTATTTCAAGAACGCGAAAGTGAACTCTACCGTAGTAAAAACAGAAGTTCTGTCTCTATGACTCTACGTCGGGAAGCGGCTACGAGCAATCGACTAAGGACATCTGCGGACCTCGACGAAGAAGCTTTGCGATTTTGTTCGTCGTGATTGTATTTACTTGTAGTGTTTGTGAAAGAATTATTATTATTATTGGGGTATCTATATAATTTTCTCACCTGGTTGGGTTCTATAAATATATAATTATAAATTAAAATGAAAAGATAAATATACATAAATATCAATAAAATAAAATAAACACAAAAACTACATAAATAAATAATAATAAATAAATAATAATAAGTAATAATAATAATAATAACACATAAATAAATAATAATAAGTCCCAGTCGCCTCAGATGACCCGAGAGGCTGACTGGGATTAGCCCATTCGCAGAGACGACTACAGGAATAATTTCGGTCGGCAGACCACCCCACATGTCGGTCACCTCGTGAGCCAGGTCCAGATATTTTGTTATTATTATTATTATTTAAGCCTTTATTTCCCAAAAAAGAATTACATAAAATTAAATATACTAAAAAATTTCATTTACATTTACAGAACCAATCATGCTTCAAAGAAAGTTTTAACAAACATTTAGATTTTTTTTTAAATTTTTAAAAGCAAATAACAATTAACCACATTTTTTAAATTATCAAATATGAAATAATAAAAGAAAATACATAATCAAACAATTGAAATCAAATACTAATAATAAGATATGTAGTGGTTAATTATAACATATTATGAAGATCAATTTACAGCAGATTGGTCATGATAACATAGTATGCAAATTTTTACTTTTTCTTAGGATTTGATATTATATATTATTTATTTGGGTACCCATTTGCGGGTGAAGGCCTCCTCCATTTTTTGCCATTTTTGTTTATCTTGTGCGAGTCTCATCCAGGTGTGTCCAGCTGTGGCCACAATGTCATCACGCCACCTACGCCTGGGTCTACCGCGTGTCCGTGGCACTTCGCGAGGGTACCATTGGAGGACTCTCTCACTCCAACTTCCATCTGTAGCTGCAATTGGCCTGCCCATCTCCATTTTAATTTACATGCTAACTCTACAGCATCTATAACTTTTGTGGTTTTTCTTATTTCTTTATTTTTTTGTCTATCTCGTAATTTAAGACCTAACATGTTCCTCTCTGTTGCACGCTGAAAGACCTGAAGCTTGTTTATTATTGTTTTTGTTAGTGCCCAGCTTTGACAGCCATAGAGTAGTGTTGGTAGAATAATAGTATCTATTGCCTTCTTTTTTAGTCGCGTCGGTATAGGAGACTTAAATATTTCTTTTAGTGACCAGTATTTTCTCCAAGCACTTTTTATTCTGCGGTCGACTTCATTCTCTGTTTGGTTTGAAAAACAAATGTTCTGCCCAAGGTAGACATAGCTGTCTACATACTCTATCAATATATTTCGAACCTTCGTAGGCACTCTAACGCTGTTAGTTAGGAGTCTCGTTTTTTATTCGTAAGTTTATCTTAATATTCGCACTTTCGACTCTCTATATCTAGAGATATCAGCATGTATTCTAGTTCATCATGACTTTCACTGATAAGGATAACGTCGTCAGCGAATCGTAGGTGGCTTAAATACTCGTCATTTATTTTTATGCCAATATTATGCCAATTGAGTTGTTGAAATACATGTTCTAAAATTGCGTTAAATAAATACGGTGAGATAGGATCCCCTTGTCTCACTCCTTTCTGAATATTAAATGGTGTTCCTTTTCTCTCTAATTTAACCACAGCCTTGCTCTGTTTGTA